ATGCTGGACAACATGATTCCTGAAGTAGTAACTTAAGAGCTTTAGTTGAGTTCACTGGCACAAACACCTTTCTTCTCTGGGGAGACTGAGGCTTGGTCTCGACTGTCTCACAATATGGTGTATTTCCTTCGGACCCCTTTCTTTACCTGAGCTTGTGATGGAGTCTTCAGAGAAGACAGTGTGTGGTACACACACTCACATAAAGAGGTTCAGCCCATGGGCAGAATGAGCTCAAAGAGCAAATCCATTTGTCGAAAGCAAGTAAAAGCCGTTATCAAATGTTATCAGTAGCGAATCTGATCCAACACTGATCTGTAGTATGGATTTCAAAATCCGGGTCCAGTTGTTTATCTTAGCGAATAGTTTTCTGTCGACAGTGTTGTTTTGTGTTGTTTGAACATCCAGTGCTCTTAACACAAATGCAGGTCTTTCTGCTCCTAATGTTCTACAGACTCATTTCTATTACCTGCCTGGTTTAGGAACTCACGTAGCCACTGACTTCTGCCAAGGTGTCTTTGGGGGAATTTCTTTCCACAACATGTCTTATCTCTCTGATATAATATAGCTCTGGTTTCTTTTTTGCCATAAAATCTACTTGTTGTGGTGCCATATTCAAGCAAAACATTGAAAGATTCAAGGAAACCCCAGGTTGCACACGGACACCTGAAGGCTTTTCTGATATTCCAAGCATGCTCGGAAGAAAGTGAAGGAAGAAACCGAGTCTCTGAAATGGTGTTTGGGTGTGGTAATAAAAGAGACAGGAGAAAGGATGGTGTTCATATTGAAGCCTGCAACTACAGCAGTATGCCTACCCTGGAGACCAATCAAAGAAGTGTGCAATAAAGGGGTATGTTATTAAACTAGCTTCCTGCTGGGTACCTGAAGTTAACACATCTAGGGAAATTCTAGGAGCTCATATAAAACACATATTTAAGCATTACCCACCCAAAGCTGAGTGACTTCCAGAATCAGTCATTCAGTGAAGGATGCTGGGATAGGGGAAGTGAATAAGTATCAATAGCACCAATGTCCTGGCCATTCATGCCCTGGAAGGGGTAAGAGAAAGTCCCCCAGCCAAGGAAGGCAGGTGGCCCAGGTGGAAGGAAGCACTTAAAGGGTTAAAGGGAAGTGGATGTAGCAGTGTTCCCCATGGAACTGTGTTCTCCTGTCCAGTCACTCTTATTCCTTTGAAGCCCAGAAGACTGAGTAGTGGCCCACACACCCAGCTTATAAAAATGTCCAAGTAACCTGCCTCAACTGAATGTACCAGGCTCTGCTGACTCCCCATGGGAGACCTTGCCTTGGAGGAGGTAGGAATGGGGGTGGGTTGGGGAGGAAGGCTGGGGGGCAGAAGGAGGGAGGAGAGGGGGTCTGTAGTTGGTACGTAAAAGGAATAGAAATTTCCTTAATAATTTTTTTTAAAAAAGGAAAAAATGTCCAAGTATTTTTCTAGGGGGGTGTTGTAATGATATGACATGCAGGAGGCCTTGGCGGGTTGGACCAAGGTGCCCTGGAGGGTGAGGCAGACACGCCATGCAGATGCAGTGGAGGACGTTGGAAAATCTCTCACACCTCAGGCACAGCATCCACGTGGAGAGAATTTATTATAATAGAGAGAGAGAGAGGAAGAGAGGAAAAGAGGAAGAGAGGGAGAAAGAGAAAGGGAGGGACAGAGGGAAAGCAGAGGTGTGCACACCTCTGTCGGGAAAGGGAGGAAGGGGAAAGAGAAGGAAGAAGGGAGGGTCTTTCCTTAAGGGAGGATGTATGTCAGGACGCAGGGCGGGTCCCCAAGGGCTGGGCCGGAATGCCAACAGTTGTACCAGTTTGCTAGGGATGCCTTCACAAAGTGCCGCAACCCTGGTGACTTCCCAGACACTGCTTTTCTCATAACTGGGAGTCCTAATGTCTGAGACCAAGGCATCAGCAGGATGTTGACTTCTGAGTCCTTTCTCTTTGGTCTGTGGGTAGACATCTTCCTCGGCTATCTCACAGGTGTCAGGATTCTGCCCTCACCCCAGCTGCCTGACCGCACATGCGCAGTTCAGGAGTTGAGCAAAGGGTCTTGCGTCTTATGTCATCAATGTGCACTGGTGACTGCATGCTCGTGGAATGGTCACGCAATCAGCGCATGCGTGGTGTAGCTCTGTAGGCCCACCTGCACCTCAAAGAGCGGTGATTCAGACCCCACCCTTTCTCTCTGTTCTGTTCTGTCTCCCCGCACCCCTCTTCTTCCTAATAAAGCTCTACTACTAGGTAGCTGTGGCCATGCCTCGTGACCTTTCTGCAGGGTAACCGGTGCCGCCACCAGTGCCGTTCATCATTCATTTCAACAGGGACTCCCCGCTCTGTGTGTCTGTCTGTCCTAACCTCTCCTTTGTAGAAGTACCAAGGTTACATTTGTTGGGGAATATTATTTTAAAGTGTGTTGCATTTTCTCCTACTGCTTTTGTTAACAATTCAAAGATGTGTTTGATTAAATAAAATTAGCCTGTGAGCAGGAGGCTGAGTCAGCACGTAGCTGACAGGAAGTGGTAAGGACGCTGGGCTTTTTGGAGGACGCCAGCAAAGGGAGAAGATTAGCTACTTGCTATTCACCCTCTGTGAGCGAGCAGAATTCCACCTAAAGCACTGAATCACGAACTCTTTAGATTTAGATAAGTTCCCTTAGTAGCTTTGAAAGAGTCGGTGCCTGAGGGAACAAAATCCCCTCAGGCCACGGCTTTTGCTTAAGGGGCAGTCACTGTAGATAATAAAAACAGATGACAACCTGCATTAGATCAGGGCCCATCCAGATGTGTCCAAATACAGCCACATTCTGTACACACGGGGTTAGGACTTCAGTTCAGTCTGTAGCACATATAGTTCAGAATGGAATTGTTGAAAGAGTGTATACACTTCCTGTTTTCATAAATTAGCCGAATTGTCACTGAAGAGTCACGGAGCATGCAACCACCAAGATGTCACTCTGGCCTAAGAGTTATTGGAACTAAGGGCACTTTAGAAAACGTCCCAAGAGGAAAGCTCTGAGAGCCGGAGATAAAGCCCATGAAGCTGTCTTCTATATATGCTTGCAAGAAACCTTCTATACAAGAGACAGGCCGGGGTGGGGGTGGGGTGGGGTGAGGAGGTAGGGTGGGGTGGGGGGTGGGGGGGAGGGGGCATACAAAGACTCTCGCTAAAATAATGTTTCAATATAAAACTAGGAGGGGGGACTAGAGGTGGGGGGCGTGGAAAGGGGTCCAAGAGGGTTGGATCCTTAAATCTGTATGCACAGTTGATTGAAAAGTTTCAATGTGCTAGAAATCGGAAATAAAACAGACATGGACCCTGACTTTGTGGTGCTAATGTAGTAGAGCAAACAAAACAATAAATAGATAAATAAATAAATGATTTCAATAATTCACTATTTCTGGCACATTGGAGATTTCCAATGAATATAGTTACAGTATATGAAAGTGAATAAATGCGTAATTTTAGCTGTTGGGTCACATTCGTAATTTATCTCCTCAGAAAATTTCCCCAAATTAGCTGCTTCCCAGACTTGTGGAAATGAGGAGAGAACAATCTGCATTTGAAGGACCCTTAAAAGAACAAGAAAACCAGGGATTTGGAGTAAGGGGCTGCGAAGCCATACACCTCAGGCAGGTGACAAACAGTTACGATGTGTAAGTCACGTGAGTGGTGGGTCCCTCAGCATCTGGAGACACCAGTCCCAGCTCATGCGGACATGAGATCCAGGAAACCTGTGTCAAGGGACTCAGAGACAGAGACCTTCCAGTTCTTCAAAAGAAGATGAAGCTCCTACACCAATTTAAATTAGTTTCACTGATGAATTGAAACCTGAAAGGGTGGATTAAATGAAGTAAATGCATATTTCCTGGTCACACACAGTCAAGTACGTACAGTTCGGGATTCAGGATCCCAGGCTACTTCTAATTTGTTGCTCAGTTTGGCATAGCTTCCCCTCCAAGGCCATTTGACAGTCCAGTGGACCGACATCGCTCCAGCTTTTACCTCCACATTCTAAGCAGCAGGAAGAAAGGGGACCCACAAGTGAACATCCATCTAGCTGAGAAGGAGGGACTGCACATGGAGTTCTCAACAAGGGGTGCCTGCTGGGGCTCTCGTACGTGGAGTCCCAGCATTTGTACAGCATGACAGCTGAACAGACCATGCCTTTTATCTGATTTCTGCAGGAGAGCCCTGCCTCGGGAACCCTGCTTAGAGGAACGGATATGGAGGGGAGGTGCTTCTGTGACACTGGGGAGGCCCCAACCGGAGGTTAGTAGGTTTTGACACAGCACAATTAGGCCTGGGTGCGGACGGCGCTGTGGAGATGGGGCAAGTGGAGGGACAGTCTACCACCCCACATCCCGCAAGTCCAGGGCATCGGCAGCAGCCTAGGTGGCCCTCACCTCCTGCTCTTTATTATACAGAATATATGATGTATGTGTATTAGACAGTTGTTATAAGGAATGCAGTTTCTGTCTTCCCTGAATTATCAGTTTGCTTTCTGACCTTAACCCAGAGTGCCTTCTCATACCAGGTCAGGCTCACCCTGTCCAGAAGGCTAAGGTGAGCTCAGGCCCGGCCTAGCTCTCTAATTGTGGCCCTCTCCATCCACCCCTTGTCCTCATCAGCTTGGTTTTGGCTCAGTTTTGTGGTATGTGACAGCTCCCCCTCTAAACGGCTGGGTCTTTCAGCTGTGCTGGATGTTCTGAGACAGGCGCAAGGAACGGTGGGAAACACTGACGTTGAGGTTGGCTTTCCGGTCTGGCATCCCAGCCCACCAATTCCTGGCCGAGAGAGAAGACTATAAATACCTCTGTAAGTGTTAAGTTGAAGCTAATTAAATTCTCCTTACCTAATTCACCCAATTCACGAGGCTGTTTGAAGGAATCACTTATGGAAAACACCTTTTTTTTTTTTTTAAAAGAAAATTCACACAACTGTGCATACAGATTTAAGGTTCCAGTAAAGAGTCTCTGTAACAATCCACATATGTTTGAAATTAATGACTTTATTGACACAAACTTAGAAATGGAAAATGTTATCCAATAGGATAGTAAGAATCAGTTCCTGTCTTAAACACACATTTAAAATTTGCCAGATGGAGATTTCAGCGGTGTGGCCAGATCACAGGCCCTCCCTCCATCCCTTCTCTGAAAGTGAGAAGGTGTTCCTATACAGGCAGAGACCACTTTTCCAGATGGTGAATTTCAAACAACGTGCATCAGTGAACTGAGGCAAACACAGAGTGGGGAAGAGAAGCTGGCCTTAGCCCGTGGCGGACAGCCCATCAGCTGGGGAAGCAGCGTGTCCAAACACAGCGCACATGCCCTGGAGAGCAAGCCCTTGAGCTCACAGGATCCCACTGCCGGCAACCTTGCAGCAGGACTCCTGCCGAGCGGTGCCACTGAGGACACGGGAGTCACGGGGCTTGCTTTTGTGTATTAGTTAAATTGTCAGAACATGAAGTTCCCTAAAAGCCCTTTGACAAGGAGTCAAGAGGAGAGAGGTTGGGGAGACTGTGGTATATACGGTAAAGGCTTGGACAGTGGGCAGGCAAATACCTACATCTGTGATTGACAGAAAGCTACCTTTAACCTAAAAGTGAGACTCCACTGTAATAATTGGTCCTGTGCCGTAGGGTCCAAGTCAGTCTCCTGAGTGTCAAGGTCACCTATAGAGTCAGAAGGGACAGTCGTGACTGGCCAGACTCCAAATCCCTCCACAACTGTTACCGCAGCTGGCACAAGGTTGGCAGTGAATGTTTAATACTAACAAACACACGGTCTACCATTCCACGTGTTGGGGAAATCATATGAGAGAAAGGGCTGAGCATCTGCATTTTAGTCTGCCGAGGTTACTGTTCTTGGACTGGGTCGTATAAACATGTCACCAGGCTGCTATTGCTGCTAAATGTGGAGTTTGTTGGTACAGTTTGACACAACTCAGACTACACCTTTCCTAAGCCCAAGCTTGTTAACAGTCCTCTCAAACTCTTATTATGTTATACTTTTCAGGAAGATATGTTTAAAAAATGCTAGAGAAGGATTCCTCTCGGAGCATCATTTTGCTGTGTTGACTGCCTGTTTTCCAACACAGTGCCTCGTCAGGCTAACGTCAACACGAATACACATCAACCAGGTTCCGGCTTCCTGAACGAATAGCTTTGCAGATACCGAAATAACATAGTCCTCGGGGCTGTCTACAGAAAGGGCAAAGGGGCATCGTCTGTGCCACCCCGTGTTCCTAGGTCACTTCCCTCCTGGTATCCAGTCTTGGATTTACAATTGCAAATGACCTGACTGGAGGTCATGGGAATAAACGGGAACTGGAAAGCTATGCTAGGTCCCAGAGGGGCTGCAGGTCGGATGCCTTGGCCTTGGGCATTGTGATGCTCTGATTTGGAAGCCAGTGTCTGGATGCCAGCCTTGGGGGTGGCCTTTCCAGGTAGAAGATGACCAGGTGTGACTGTGTCACAGCCCCCTCTCAAAGACACTCCACGGGCACTGGTGGAGTCAACCTTGGCAGCTGGGATGGAGCTATCTCAAACCGAGTTTCTCCTGTTCCTATATTTCTGGATGAGACCAGCTCTGAAGTGAAAACACTAGGTTTTGTGATAGTTGTTTTTAGACAGAGAGGAGGACAGAAGGGGCTTGTTTAAGACCACGCACGGTAATAGCTTCACACTAGTGTGTGACCCTGGCCCCAGAAATCCACTACTCCTGCATTTCTAGGTCGTTCACAGACCCATGAATTTCACGTGGCTACAGCAGACCATGCTACGGAAGCTGCAAAGGGGAAAAACAAACCACGTTTTGGCAATCTGTGAACATATTTCAGAACTTTTCCATCCATTTTTGTTTGTTTGTTTGTGATAAACAGGAGGCTGAGAAGGTCCTCACAGCGTGGGTGGCTGTGTCTTGTCTGATCAAGCCATCTCTGCAGATGCTCAGAGGCAGCCATGTTTACAAGGGACACCCACTTCTTCAAGATTCTTTGATTGAACTCCACAATGAAGTTCCTCTGCTCCTACATCTAGACCCTGTTAATTGATGCAGTTCTTTGTGATTCTTTTACTTCTGTCCATCTGCCGGATGTTCTCTGTAACGTTAATAGCGACTTCTTTTGTGGACATTCTCTTGGCGTCTTTTTTAGCCTGTTAAAAAGCAGAAAACAGTGAATTCAGTTCCTGGCAAATATCCAAAGTTCATCCCATTTGCTTTAATTTCTTGAGATGATTATAAACACACAGGCAGGCAGGGGAATCGAGGACTCATACACATAAGGCCCTCCTAGAGCTTTTCCTTAATTAAAATTTTCAGTGCTCCATAAAAGCATAAAAATTGCACGCATTAATGGAGGTATCATGTGATGCCTTGATACATACATACATGGTTATTCTCGGAGGTTTCTCTGTTGAGTCTCTAATACGAAGCTAGCATGGGTCCTGGTATAAGACTGTGTTCATAAAACATGGTTGAACGAATGAATTAACAGAGATTAAAGGGTAGTGAGAGCATTTTCACAGTTGGTCTTAGCGGGGTGGTTAAGTTTTTTGAGCTTTGGAGTCAGATTTTGGTTCAAACACAGGCTATGTAGCTCCATGGGGCAGACATTTCTAACTTCATGGTGGAGCTTCCTCATCTGTGAAGTAGGCAGTAACTTTATTGACCTCATAGGACTTTTGTAAGCACTAAATAAGACAACACATGTTCAGTGCCTGGCACAGTGCCTGTTATTAAATAAACAGATACCTCAAAACACAGAGTTGTCCAGTTTTAGGTGAAGACAGACCCCTGCTAAAAGCCCAGAATTAACTTTAAATACAAAAGCATTAACTAAACTGTAGGTTCCTCAACATGTCCCCATCCCCTCACTTCTCACAAAATGAAAACAACTTTAATTAGGGGAGTGGATTCCTGAAAATAACAGTAAGCATGAAATGACCCTGTAAGTCATGACCACAGGTTTATGTCACTGATCTCCATTCCAGAGGATCTGCTCGGGCTGGGGGACAGGGGACAGCCAGCAAAGAGCCCTGTGCAGGAAACAAAACAAAATAATGAGACTGGGTCCCCAAGAAAGGCCTGTCCTGCCTGACTTTCATAGGTTGTTACATAAAAGCTTTGAAAGTCATTGGAGAGTGGGAGACAGAGGCCATATTTGAAATGAATCACCCTGACAGAAACATTTCTCTCAGATTGGTGGGAGGCAAGAGAGCTAGGTTGAGAATAATTCACAAAGGTTGATTATAGGTTATTCACAGAAAGTGAATGCCCTGTTCTATCTAGTTCAGTCATTTATTTGTGTGTGTGTGTGTGTGTGTGTGTGTGTGTGTGTGTGTGTATGCATGTGTGCGCATGTGTATCCTTAATAGTAGAGTCCAGAGGTCAGTTCTGTGTGTCTTTATTGTTTCCATCTAATTTTTTTGACAGGATCTTTCACAGAAGCTGGGGCTCACTAGTTTAGCTGTTTGGCGAGCAAGCCCTGAGAGTCCACTTGTCTCTGTCTCTCCCCCACCCCAAGCTCTGAGGTTACAAGTGCAGGCTGCCATACTGAACTTTGACATGGGTGCTGGGGATCTGACCTTGGGTCCTGGATGATTCCTAATTTCTAAGCTGGAGTAAAGAGTCAAAGATTACAAAATGGTTCTTCCACAGCAGTTATGGGTGTGTGTGATTGAACACAGTGAGGCGGCTTCTTAATGAATACACCGCAGTCTGTAGACCAGGCACACAGGACACACACACCGCAGTCTGTAGACCAGACATACAGAACACACACCACAGTCTGTAGACCAGACACACAGGACACACACTGCAGTCTATAGACCAGACACACAGAACACACACCGCAGTCTGTAGACCAGACCCACAGGATACACACCACAGTCTGTAGACCAGACACACAGGACACACACCACAGTCTGTAGACCAGAC